CTGTGTCTCTTACACAGAAGCTATCTTTCTCTCTCTCTTCTTTTTTGGTACTGGGGCTCAAACTCGGGACGTTGTGCTTTGGAGGCAGGCGGCAGCACCTCTGAGCTAAATCCCTGGCCCTTTTCTCTTCTTTTTTGAGACGGAGTCTCACTATGTAGTTCAGGCTGGCCCTGCACTCATTGTAGAGCCCAGCCTGGCCTTGAGTTGGCAGGAATCCTTCTGCTGAGATTATGGGCATGCACCACCATGCCTGGCCCAATTTTATTCTAATTTTCATATTTCAAAAAATAAATGTTATGGGCTGGGAACGTAGCTCAGTGGCTCTGTGCCTGCCTCACAAGTCCTGAGTTCAATCCCCGGTATAAAAAAAAAATTATCCCACTCTCCCCTCCTCTTACACCCCCTCCCCTCCCTATGTACAAAAGCTTTGTTTCCATTTTTCCTTCTATTTTCACTTTTTTTCTTATCCTTTCCTTTCTCCCTCTCTCCTTCCTTCTTCCCTTCCCATTTGAACACTTTCTTCCCATTTCCCAATCTCTATTCTACATTTTAGTCCTTATTTCCACTTTCGGTTTCTCACATCAGGGAAACAATGTGGAATTTAAACATGTGTGTTCTAATTTTCATTTCAAAGCTAAGTAGTAAGCACACAGGTAAATGATGCAGTGATTTGCATCATTTACTAAAACTAAGATCAAAAACCAGTCCTAGCTTCTAGGAAAAAGTTCTATAACTGCCTGCAGTAATTCTCTAAGGCTGGGGAAAGCAATGAGACAAATTACAGAAACATTAATCCCATTCTTACTGCTATCTTAGATACATGTGCAGCTTCGCCCTCCTTCGTTGTTGGAGGCACACAGCATCTTCTGGATGTGAGAATGGCTGTAAGGTGCCTGCCAGCCAAGCGCAGTGTGCCGAGTCCTAGAACCTGGACTTGCTTCTAGTGAGAGGCGCATGTGCTGATATCCAGACACTGCACTTGTTGCTCGCTGTGCCACCCTTGGGGCTGACCACCTCCCTGGGCCTGTGTTTGGCCAGGTGTGTGCGTAGGTGCGGGTGTGCTCTCAGACGGGACACTCGGGTGTTGTGAAACAGGTGGGCCAGGAGTCACAAGGCTGCGTGCCTGAAGAATATAATCTTAAACACGTCAGGGCTTTCCAGGCTACATGATGCTCATCCTCCCAACATTGTTTTAAAGTGAGAAGAGAATTCAATTCCGCCTCTAGCATGTGGTCACCCCCACATCAGGGAGTCACAGCTGTCAGCTGACCCAAGAGTTATGGTGGACCCTTGACTTACAAGCTCAATTCATTCCCAAGGCCTGGTTGTAACCCAAGTTGGTCAGTGAAGGCTCAGGTCCTCTGCACAGCCTTCAGAGTCTCTCTCCTGTACACGGGCAGATCTCAGTGTCCTCAGAGAGACACTGGCCTGGGATTTCTCAGTAAACCCCACGCAGGAAAGGATGCTCTGATGTTCCTTCCAGAACTCTGTGAGGGTTAAATCTCTATCTGAGACCATCTGGAGGCACAAGTGGCCGGCATTAGGGTCATAACTCAAGACTTTGGTTGTAAGTTAAGACTAAAATCCAGGCAGTAACTCCAGTGTCAGACTGGTTGTAACTTGAGGCTCACAGAGGAGGGTCTGTGGGGTTCCCAGAGGCTGCGGTCAGGGGCAGGGCCGTCCAAGTCCAGTCTGCAATCTCATTGTCACCACCACGTCTCCACGAAAATGGGAGAGAATTTCTTCAAGAAAATAGTCAAGAGGACCAGGGATTTAGCTCAATGGTTCCAACCTCCTGCCTTGCAAGCGCAAGGACCCGAGTTTGAGTCCGGGTACCAAAAAAAAAAAAAAGTAACCAAGGAAGGCTGAGTGCTGTATCGGGCCTCACTCCGGATTTTGGTGATCTGCAAGGTGACTTGAACTTTTTTTTTTTTTTTGGTACCGGAGATCGAACTCGGGTCCTTGCGCTTGCGCAGCAGGCAGCGAAACCACTGAGCTAAATCCCCGGCCCCGACTTGAATTTTCTATTGGGAAGAGTCGCTTCCCGTTTCATCTGTACCTACAAGCAGTTACAGATGCTCCAGGTTCAAGGTCAGGAAGGTGGAAGGTTTCATCACCCTCTCTGCAGGGCCTAAGCACCACCTCCTCCTCCCTCGTCCACCTCCTCCCTCACCTGCCTCCGGGCGAGGCCACACTGGGAGCCAGACAGCCCCTCGCGGTCTGCTGTCTTATTCTCCCACCCCTGCCACTGTCCGTCAGCCGTGGCCTCACCTCTGTCCCTGGTCAGACAGTCTCTGCCCTCCAAGCGGGGGTCCCCGTCCCGATCAGCCGCCACCCCGCCTGCTGTCCTGCCCTTGGCTCATCTCCTCGGGAGGCAAACTGCGCCTCCTCTCTCGGCTTGAGACTGACCTGCCCCAGAGGTAGCCGTGGCACGGCCTTCTTTGGGACCTTTCCCTGGTGCCGGAACTGCTTCTCCTCTTCCTGCGGTCTCCACTCCGCTGCGATGCACAGGCGAGCCCCAAACCCGGCCAGCAGATCCCCAGCCTGCGCAGGGAGCCCTCTGCACAGGTGACTCATTAAACATTTAAGCGACAGAAAAACATCATCGCATCACAGGTAAAGAACGGTTCAAGTCCGCAGGCTGGGAGCGCTGTCCAGATGACGGCGAGCCTGCGCGCCGTGGAGCCGGGTTCCCCGCACATCCGGATCTGGGATCTCCACCCCAGCCCGGTGGACCTGGGCTCGGGACATTTGCGAGAACTCAGGCTGTTTGACAGGGCCCGGTTGAGCTAGTGTTGATGTCTGCATACATGATGGGTCACGCTCAGCTAAGGGACAATGTCCTGTCCCCTCGGAGTGAGCGCGTGCCTCGGTTTTTAGGGGGAAAGCTCTAGGGTGTAGGAGGGCTGGAAATCACTTTCAGGGTTCATGTTTAAATGGCAGGCACACTGCATAGAGAGGTACCGCCAGTGTGGCCCAATGCCAGTCGATGAAAAGGGAAAGTTCTTTGAACTAATTAATCATCTTTCAACTTTCTATATTTGAAATAAAAAATAAAACATTTGGGGGGAAAGCTAAGGACACATTTTGAAAATCTAGTGTCGCTGGGGCTCAGGAAGTGCGCCCCCAAATCGCAGCCTCGGAGGCAGAGTTCCCCCCTCAGCTCCTGTGCTCTGGCGCCTCACACTTCCTGCTCCCCACAGAGCCATAAATGAGAATTCCTCTTTGTGTGTGTGTATAGAAACCACAGCCTGCTTTCCCCAGAGCCAGCACAAAAGCTCTCTGCCTGAGAGCCGTCCATGGGACACTCTGTGCCTGCTAAGATCCCATCCCAGAAGGGTCCTGCTCTATACTGGAAGGAAGGGGTGTCACGCACAGCTCGAGACCGAGAACCCCGAAGACCATGGGGGGGGGGGCTCCCCGCCCCGTTTGCATCACTCACACCCTTCCTGTCCAACTATTTCTACCCAGCTGGCCCTGTGCTGCGCCACGGAACCTAAACCTGGAAAAGGACAGTCGCCCCAGGTCTTTGGTCTTAAATGCAAACGTTCCCTGGTCACATAGAACTATCCTCTGGGACGTTTGTTACATTTTTCTCGTTAACCCAACTTTTGGTACAGGGCGTCGGCACTCAAAGGTGGGAACCCCTCCTCCCAAAGCTGCTCATGATCCTCCCGCAGCCTGTCCACAGCACACCACCACTGCATTTCCACCCAGCCTGTGCTTCAAGTCCAGAGGCACGGCTGGCCTCCAAAAGTTGGTGCTCACTCAGCTGCAGCCTGTTCCTGCCCGTTTGCCTGAATGGTATCAAATTCCACGAGAGCCTTAGGCAATTAGAACTGTGCTTCCTGATGGCTACACCTAATTCCATCAGGGATTTTCACCAGGGACAATTGAGGCCATAAGGAAGCAGCACATGTTGGGAGAAGCAGTCTGGCTTTAATCCTTTTAGAGTTGCCAAGCCCCTAGCAAGAGCTGGTTATTTCTTTATTGCTATGAAGGTGACAGGAATTCAGCCCTGCTCTTATGTCTCCACTGTATTCACATGAAGATTAACAAAAAGCATATTGCATTTTCATCTAGGAGTTAAGGGGCCCAGGTGAACAACCATCAGAAATGAAACTACAACCACACAAAAACCAGTACATGGCTGCTCCTATGAGCGTCATTTACTGTAGCCAGAAAGCAGAGGCGGCCTCAGTGCCCCTCGGTTACACAGGCACTCGATGGGCTCTTGAAAACATTCGAAGGTGGAGCCAGGCACAGCGGCCCCTGTCCTGTGATCCCATCCGTGTGAAATGTCCAGAACAGGCAAACCCAAAGGGACAGGGTCTATCCATGCTTGCCTTGGGCTGGGGCCCAGGGCTCAGGAACGGCTCCTGAGTTCAGGGTTCTTTAGGGGGCCATAAAATGTTCTGGAATTAGATGGTGGCCATGTTGCACAACTTTGTAAATGTAATAAAAACCAGTGAATTGTGCCATTTAAACGGATGAATACTATGGCATGTGAATGATATCTCAATTTCTTTTTTAAAAAAGTTAATGGAAAGCAACTTTGCACTGGATCCATTTTTAAGGACAGTCCAGGCACGTGGGGGCGTGAGGGGCCCTTCGGGCTCCGTCCCCCCTGGACAGGGAAAGCTCGCCCCGCCCCGCCCACCGCAGCTCACACTGGCGTCCTTAGGGCTGAGCGCGGCCAGTTCCTGTCCCCTGAATCCCGGCCCTCCCCAAGCTGCCCTCAGTCTCAGCCCAGCCCCACTTCCTCACCGTACTCACCGTCCTGCCACTCCGACCCCTCCCAACTTGGGGATTGTTCACTGCTTCACTGCGAATACTAGCTGCTCAATACATTTCTGGGGGGATGAATGAATTGAGAAGAAAACCTTACGCAACAATGTGTACCGGATATTACTTAAAAGATGAAGTTCTGGGCTCCAAAATGTGTTTTTCTCCCATGAAAAGAGGAACTCCTCCTTTAAGTGTATATTTAAACTCAGATATCTTGCACAAAGAGTATTTTATTACAGATAAAAATATAACATAAACCTTGACACATTTCAAGGAAAACATTCAGGCATCCTAAACATAAAACTTTTAACATGCAAAATTCAAATTTACAGCAATAAACACAGAAACTTATCTACACTACCTTTCATCCCATATCCAGAGCCCAAAGAAAGAAGACACACCCTAAAAATGTAGCAGAAGCACTTCCGCACACTGGTGTGCAGACTCTAGTCTGTACGGAAGTGTTTCCACTAGATTCCTAGAGTATTCGAGGGCTAGGGGAGGCTGCCGGTCATTTGGTCGCCCCTCGGACCTTCTGCAGCTCCTCAATCGGCTTCCACTGTTGGTTGATTGTTATAAGCTTTAAAGAGAAAGGAAATAAAGTGCTTTGTTAAAGATCTGTCCCTGTCCTCACGCCCCCCCTTAGGAAAAGCATCTCTATAGCATCAGTGTCAGAGAACCACCCCTTGCCCTCTCGGAAACACACACCAAATAGGAACAGGGGCTGATTCAGTCGCTTGTCCCTCTAAAGGAGCCCCTGGGCCCCGGAGTGTTACAGGAGCGAAGAGGACGCTGAGCTTCATGCCCCTTGCAGTGGCGGTGTCCAGATGCCTTAGTCTGCTAAGGCTGGCTGTGATGTGCCCCTCCGAGTGAATGTGTACGGTTCCTCGCACAAGGCTCAGCACACTGTGGTCTCCTCACAAGACCTCCTCCCGGCACTGCTCAGCAAAGGCCCAGAGAGCCAAGGTACCCAGTCAGGGAAACTGGACAGAGCCCTGGATGGCTCTTGATTTCCAGAAACCTCACGTGCAGACATTTGTGTTTGCCCCACGAGTGTTCTAGTACCCAGGACCTAGGAGACTCAACGTCCCTCTCTAGGTCAAACAGCTCCCTGAGAGCTTGCATTTCAAAAAAGCCTTTCCTAGGGCCGGGGATTTAGCTCAGTGGTTCCACTGCCTGCCTTGCAAGCACAAGGACCCAAGTTCAATCTCCGGTACCAAAAAAAAAAAAAAGCCTTTCCTGACAGTTCAAGCCATCAGTGCATTCCAACAGACTCCATGCTGGCAACTTCCAAAATATTTAAGATGTAAATGGTCTTAAAAAGAATTTTACTTAAAAAGAATTTTACCCACTGGGTACAGTGGCCCACGCCTATAATCCTAGCAGCACTTGGGAGGCTGAGGCAGGAGGATCACCAGGAGTTCAAGACCAGCCTGGAGTATATAGTGAATTCAAGACCATCCTGAATCACATACTGAGACCCTATCTCAAAAAAAAAAAAAAGAATTTTACTTAAAGAGAATAACTTCAGGGGCACCTCACCTAGTATTTAGCACAACAGACCTAATGTTAGACATGTATCTTATGTATTTCAATAATGATAGAAGTGTTTACTACGGGCCACCCCTGGTGCTACACGTTCTGGGTATTTCATCTTCTTTAATCCCTTTGCCTCCAAGGTAGAGCACGTTTTCACACCTGTTACAGATTCTGAGAGTCTCAGCAAAGCCAGGCTCTGCAATCACCTGCGAGCAATGAAGCAAGGATTGGGACCAGAGCCCTACACTGGAGCCCACTATCTTTAATGCTTCGTCAAGTGGCTCTCCGAAAGGCGCTAGTCTGTTTTGCTGAGAGGGGTGGCTAGGTTTGGACTAAATGTCACTTATTTTTCACTGAGCAATACCTTTTGAGGTACACTAGGATCCACAGTCTCCCAAGGCTCTGGATTTCCTTTTCGATCAAAACTGAAAATAAAAGAAAGCTAATTAAGGGTGGAGAAGAACCAACTTCCACACCAGTTTCCAGTCACCTCTTCCTCAGACGCTGGCAGAGAGAGGTTTGCACCCCTCTAAAATTAGGGTGCACTGTAACCACTGAATGGGTCAGTTCTACCACATTAGGAAAGATCATTCTAATAAATTCAAATTTAAAAGCTTAATTAAAATGATGACATTGGAGGATATACATTTCCCACAAATGATTTAAAAACTTTAAAAATCCCAAAGTTAAGTTTAAAAATACCAGACTTTACTTCCCTGTGGAGGAGTGGAGCAGGACCAGTGAGCAAACGGATTTTTCTTTAGACACAAGGAAGAAACAAGTGTCGTTAATACCACTGAGTCATCTTTCAAATATCAGGATGCTTTCTAGCCCGAGTCCAAGCCCACGATCTGACCTTCTTATCCATAGGCGAAAACAGGAAACTGACCTCACCCTCAGAACCGGGGCTCACCAGCCTCCGCCCACCGGGCCCCACTTACATCACGTCGGTCTTCCGTAAGGAGTACACAGCGAAGGACAAGGCGCCGCCGGCCGCCACGGTCATGATCACCGCCAGGGGGATGAGCTGGGGGTCAACACGGGCCTCAGCTGCAGCACACAGCTCGGGCGGGCGCAGAGGCAGACACGAGACACAGGGGCGAGGGCCCACGCGAGGGGCATCTCTGCACACATCGCTTTTACACTGTCTTCCAAATCCACCATCGTTTCACCATTAAAAAGCAGCACTTTTAGGTAAGATTTCCCATTACTTTAAAAGCTTACCTCCTTCTTTTTCATCAAGGTTTGGAAAACGCCCATGATAGCTTCAGCGTAGAATGCCAAATCTATAAGAAAAAACAAAAACCCAAGATGCTGATCAAAACCTGGGCCACTGTAATCCTAGCACTCGGGAGGCTGAGGCAGGAGGATTGCTGTGAGATCAAGGCCAGCCTGAGCTATACACTGAGTTCAAAGCTAGCTTGAGACCCTGTCTCAAGAAAACCAAAAAAAAGCAAACTTGGCCCACTAGGACCCAACCCGGTGGACACCAACCTGCCCTCCGTGCTCCAAAGGCCTGGAGTGGCGGGGCTCACCTGGGCGTCCCAGACTCACCTGGCAGGGCTCACCTGGGCGTCGCACAGGCAGAGATGCTGCCGGGCTGAAGCAGAGCTCGCGCCTGCGCCTTTTATACCGGCCGCGACGCACCGCCTGCCGGCTCGGGAGGGAGGGCCAGGAGCGCGGTCCCCGGCTCTCGGGCGCCCCCTGCAGGACGCCCGCGGCGCTGCCCTCCCGGCTGGGGGCCAAGGTCTGGGGGGCAGAAAATCCAGCCTTCTAAAGGGGTCGGAGAGAGGGGCCGCGGAACCGGGCTCGGGCAGGCTCCAGGGGCGGCAGGTGGGAGAACTGCGCCCCCTCATTAAAGGCTCCCAGTGCGCGCGCGGCCGTAAGGAAAGCGTAGCGCTCCTTGCGGAGGACTCCCAGGGACTCCTGGTTTTTTTCCATCAAAAAAGGTCAAGGTAGAAGGAGAAGGCACAGAGCATCAACTGAGGTTTCCAGGCCGGGTCTAAGCCGGGCGTGGTGGCGCACGCCTGGAATCCCAGCACCAGAGAGGCTCAGGCAGGAGGCTCCGCTGGAGTTTGAGGCTAGACTGGACTACACAGCGAGACCCTGTCTCAAAAGCAAAACAACAGGCTGGCGGAGTCTTCGGGTCCATCCTCTCTCCTGTAAGTCAGCGGCCTGCCTCACAGTCCGCTTTGGAAATAACTTCAAGTTTCCTGGGAATGGCCACGCATAGCTCGGTCCCAGTTCCGTCCTAGGTCCAGGTGTGGACTGGACGAGAGCCCAGCCCGCCCACTTAACTGCGATTCAGCTACTTCCTCCCCTTTGGGGTCTTAGGTGTCCGAAGAATGGGCTCGAACTAAAGTCGGGGAGTCAGGGTCCCCCAGCCGGGGCCTCTGCTCATTCGCTGCGTGCACTGTGTGCAGATGTTTTCCGTAAGGTAAGTGCGGCTGTCGGGCCGCCTGTCTCTGCTAAGGTGCAGCGAGGGATGCGTTGATTAGAGCTGTTGATGACACAGCAGAGAAAAACCCTCACCAGTTCTCCCCGGGTGAGCTATGCAGTCAGAAAAGCACCGAAAGTCTTCTGCAGGATTTTAAAGGCTGCTTTTGTCAGGAGGTCCACTGTTTAAAAAGTCTGGTTATCAAAGACAAGTTGTTTTTAGGAAGGAAGAAGGGGGACAGAAGGAATGAAGGGGAGCAGAAAAGAGACGTAGGAAAGAGGAGGAAATCTTACAGGAAGAAATCAGGACTTAAACCAAGTAGCCACTGCCCACTAACGACAGACTCAGAGACCTGCCCGTCAGCATCGCATTTCAGAGTGCAAGGTGTGTTTCCGTGGGAAAGGCACTTCCGGGATGGGGCACAGTGGAATTTTAAAGAAGACACAAGTCCCTTTGTGAGGTGCTTTACAATTTGGGCCCATAAATAACCCCAACCCAGGGCACAACCTGGTGCCAAAGACGAGGGGTTAATTCCGAGCACATGGATGAAAGGCTGGGCACTTACTTGATCTTGCAAATAAACCAGCTGCAAAGGACATTTTGAGGGAATTGGGTTAACCCAATTAGCACCCAGACACAGGTAATACTAAAGGAACCCAGCTGCTCAAGAGCTGCTTTTGTTGTTGTTGTTGTTATACTTTTTTAAAAAAATGTTTTTGAGGGCTGGGGATTTAGCTCAGTGGTGCTGCCACCTGGCTTGCAAGCACAAGGTCCCAAGTTCAATCCCCAGTACCAAAAAAAAAAAAGAATAAAAAAGTAGTGCTCTTAAAAATAACATTATTTTTGGCATGAGGAATCAAACTCAGGGCCTTGTGCTTACCAGGCAGGCACTGTGCGGCTGAGCTACATCCCTGGCCAAAAATAACATCTAAACAACAAAAAAACCCATTTTAACCAGAGTAGTGGTGTGCACCTGTAATTCCAGCACTTGGGAGGCTGAGGCAGGAGGATCATTGCAAGTCTGGGGCCGGTCTGGGGTATACAGTGAGTTGAAGGCCAGACTGTAGCAAGACTGTCTCGGATGGACAGACAAGCAAGCAACAGGTACGGAACAAGGTTAGAATTCTAGTAAGATTTTAAGGGTTTCCCTAGGACTCAAATGGCAGGGTGTTTGTTAGACTAAGCTTACTTAAATCGGATTTTACGCCTATGAACCAAGCAAGTCTTTCCCCAAATCCCATCTCCAGTTAGAAATGGAAACTTTCCAAGGGCTCCGTGCAGTTTCTGTAACATTCCACACTGAGATCATCTCGAATTCTTCCTCAAGCCCTCCCGGCCTGTGACCTTCGCTGGGTGACCTGCCTGCTGCCACCCACTGCTGGCTGTCACGTCCCACTGACCTCCCAGCAACCCACAGCACCCGGAGTGAATGCCCAGCGCTTGGCAAGGTGTGGTCTATACACCTCCGGGCCCAGTTTATTCTGTGAAATAACTGGTCTCATTCTCCGGGGCCAGGACTGAGAAGCTAAAGGTGTGGCGTGTTGATCCCAGCCTGGACCCTGGGATGAGAAAACACTGGGACATTGGGCATTACTGGGACAACGGCTGGAATTCATTGGACAAGATTAAAATGCCATCATCAATGTTAATTTCCCCGAATCGGTGACTGCACTGTGGCAAACACAATCTTTATTGGCAGGAAAGACAGACCTAGGGGACAGAGGACACGATGCAGAGACAGTCACGCACCACCTGGTGTTTCGGTCAGCTCGGTGAGCATGCACACTGCCACGCTCACAGTGACAGAACACCTGACCTGATTCTCAGGCCGCGCGTCCGACCACTATGTGATGCACAGCTGTTTTCTGTTCTCAGATTGTTAAGAAACTACTGCATGTGGTGGGGAGAGAGAGCAAACAGGGCAAAATGTTAACAACTGGTGAATCCCAGTTAGCTTAGAAGAGTTCTTTGTAATATTCTTGCAACTTTTCTGTAGCTATGAAATTATTTCAAGGTTACAAAAAAGCAATCAACAAAACCTAGTTACCCTTACAAAATCAATAAACACACATTCTTCTTCCCATGACGGCATTTTACATGCCTTTTAGATAAGATGAGCCTTGGCTCATCAGGCACAGGTTTTATTTACTTTTTTTTAATTTACAGAAAATACAAACACAACCTCTCAAAGTGTAAAGTTATAATTCATACACAAGTCCACCTTTCGATCAGCAGTAATGACTGAAAAACCACATAACCCTTAAATATCTTCCAAGGTAGCAAGTCCTTCCTTCTTAAATAAGTTTTCGTACAGAGCCAAGTCCACGTGCTGCAGGGACGGCTTCGCAGTGCCGAGCGATCGCAGGAAGTGCTCCTGACGCACCGCGGCTGCTTCCAGCCCGTCCTCCTGCAGGGCTAGCAGGGCTGCCTGTGGGAGACAAGCACAGGACGGTCACTGCCGCGGTTTGACAATGAACAATCACGGTGATACTTTGAGATCTGGGTGCAAAACCTTGTCTCACGTCAGAGGCTTCCAAGATCCATGATCACTGAAAATATTAAGCTAAAAAGTTACATCAAGTGACTGAAAATCCACTTAGTAGACCAGAATTTTCCTACGTGAAAACTCTAGCCTCCCACGGAAAAAAACGAAAGCAGAGTAATGTATACAAGGTGTGATGGAGAAATACGGTAAGTGCTTAAATTTTAAAAACCTTATTACACATTACCAGGAATCTCCTTCAAAGTACTCCCTCCCTTTGTACACACTAATCCTATCGTTTTTTGCCACTGTCTGAAGCAGTTCTGTCTTTTGTCTTTGTTGCACTGTCCCGGCTACCTCAATGCCTGAATCACACTGACTGTAAACGTTCGTCTTGTGGTCGTTTTGACTTCGGGGAAGAGCCAGAAGTCTCAGTGCCAGACGCCATGCACAGGTGGACGAGGACACAGTATCATTGTTTTCCAGCTGTCTTTCTGCTGGACGGTGCTCGGCAGCAGCATTCACTGTATTTTTTACCACAAGCTGTAATGACGCTCAGGAAAGGGCTCCAGAACTGCTCCAGGAAGTGGCAAGCACAATGGCGTGCGTATGTTTAGCATGAGAGGAAGTGTGTATTATTTAAACACACGTTGCAGTTTCTGATCAGCCCATTTACATTGTGAGGCCACATGGATCTTTTAAAAAAGGAGAGAAACCTTCTGGAGCTTGGAGCGGGGAAGTTTTAGACAACATTCATCATCCATCCCAGAGGAAAAGATCAAACTTGCATTTTGACCCAGCAGTTTTGATTGTAGCTGTGCACATTTATGAAACACTCACAACTGCCTATGTACACCAGCAGACATGTGTAAGACTGTTCACAGCAGCGTATCCATAACAGCGGCAAAGTGGAAACACAAACGTTCACTAACTGGAGAATGGAGAAACAAACGTGGGCCGTACAGCAGAAATCTCACTACGGCTTCACACAAGGCACAGACGAATTTCCAACACAATCTGTGGTCTGTCTGCAGCGAGCTCGGCAGCATGGCTGGGTGTGGGGTGTGGGCAGAAGATGACTCTGTGGGCTGGAAATGTCCTCTTTTCTGACTCAGTGGTGGTTACAAAACTGTGATCACTTTACATTACTTCAGTGACTGTGACCTAGACTGGGGCCTTTCTCTGAATGCTGTATTAGTAAAAGCCCACAGAGCTGGGGATGTAGCTCAGTGGCACTGTACCTGCCTCGCAAGAGGAAGGTCCTGAGTTCGATCCCAGAAGGCTAAAAACCTACCGTGGCTTCTTCTCCCCTCAAAATACAACCTAAACGCCTTCCATGGCGGACAAGGACCCTGTGAGCTGGCTTCTGCTCCCTTCTCCACCTGGAGGGGCAATAACTCTGCCCTGCCCGCCAAGGCCCTGCACTTCACTCTGATGCGAACAGCCCCTTGCCCCTCGCTGACTCCCAGTCAAGTCTGGGTCTCAGTTTGCGCCTCCACAGGCAGGCAGCCTTCTCACCGGCTGCGTCCAGACTGGTCATTCCCACTTCCCACAGCCAGCGCCCTAATCCTCTCGGCTCACTGCATCTTCTTTCTTTTCACAACTAGAGACAGCGCCTCACTGAGCTGCTTGGGCCGGGGCGGAACTCTGGGCCCTGCCTCAGTGGTGGGACAAGGGGGCCAGCACTGGCGGGGCACCCTCAGCTCTCACCTCGCTGTCCCTGTCCCCATCCCCAAGGGACTGGCGCAAGTCTCCTAGTAAACTCGATGGAGTAGAGAAGACTCAAGGGCACGGAGAGCTGCCTGGAAGCACAGGTTCTTCACTGGTAATGAACTTACTTCTCTGCACAGGTTTCTAAGGTCAGCTCCAGAGAAGAGGTGCGTTTCCGCTGCGAGGCTTTCTAAGGAAACGTCAGGCGCTATGGGCATGTTCTTTGTGCAGACTTTTAAAATAGAAAGCCTGCCCTGGAACAGAACAGGAAACAACACAGTGATAACCTTGGAACATTTACATTTGATACAATGATGTATTAAAACATTTTATTTATTTATTTATTTATTTTTTTGGTACCGGAGATCGAACTCGGGTCCTTGCACTTTCGAGGCAGGTGGCAAAACCGCTGAGCTAAATCCCTGGCCCCAAAACATTTTAAATTTGAGTTTTCTATCACAGTACAGAACAAGTGTAAGTGTGTGTGAGTGTGTGTGTGTGTGTGTATACACACAAACATATTTGGGACTCAAAGTAAAAAATTACTTCTTGATTCTGAAAGGTAAGAAATTTAAGCCAATGGTAAATTAATAGTAAATTAAGCCATTTATCATATGGTAATGGTAAAATACTAAGATCATGAAAAACTTTTAAGACTTTTATCATTAATTTTTAGTCTCCAACAAAAGGCACAGCTCTTTAAGAGAAAGATGAACCTCTCCTCTGAGCATAGAAAGTGCTGCTGGACTGGTTTCAGCAGCAAGCGCAGAGTATCAGGTAGAATTTGAAATGATCGCAGACATTGAAATGTTTCTAATCCCTTGAAAAGGTGAAGCTTCCCCCTCTGCGGCCATCCCTGCTGGCCCTGCTGGGCCTGGGTCCCGGGACAGTGGGCTAAGGCTCCGAAACCCAGATCGCTCTCTGCTCTGGGAACCAGGGGAGCCCCGATCCTCTCCAAAGCCTGCTTTGCTCCCCTGAAGCCCTAAGGCCCCTCCAGCCCGCTGGAGGTTGTGCCGGCCACAGGCGGACACCGGGTCTCTTCCTTACTGCCAGGTGTCACGAAGGGCCCCAGGCCCCAGGGCATGGCAGCGGGGTGGGAGGCACCTTCTGATCCGGAGGGGGGATGTAGACGATCCTGTCCAGCCTCCCTGGGCGCAGCAAGGCGTCATCTAGCACATCCGGCCTGTTTGTTGCTGCAACAATCATAACATTTCGATTCAAAACTTCTTGAAATTCTGAAGGAAAACAAACAACATAAAGTAATGCCAGTAACTGTTGATGGAAATTTTTTCAAGTTCCACATCAGAAGGTTGGATTGTTTCTAAGTAGGGTGGCCTTTCCTTGGGGCTGGGGCACTCACCCCCCCCCCCCATGCAGGGCACCCCTACAGCTGTGTGTGCAGAGCGGCTTGTCCTGAGGCCTCCAGGAACAACTGCAACCCATGGGGCCGCACGAAGCCAGCGGGGGACCTGCGGGGGACACTCGGGGCCCTGAGTCCTGCCTGCAGCCTTCCCGAGGCCTCTACATTTACTTCTCTTTCCAGAGGCAGAAATAATGACGATCAACCTGAGCTTTAGCTAGCAAATCCTGGAGGAAAATAAGAAAGGTTTAAAAGGAGATGGGCAGGGCCATATGCACTAAGCAATAAGACCAGTTAGTGAACTGAGGGATCAGAGAGGTCTTTCGGGGTTCGATTCCTCCAAGTAGCGAGTCCAACTCTCACACGCCTCTGACAGAGGCGGGGAGATGCCTGCCCCACGAGAGGCTCAGGCCGGCCCCAGGGGTCCCTTCTAATTCCAGTGTGAAATGTTCCTAACCAGCCATTACAACGCTCCTGCCATGGAACAACTTTTAAAACTCAAAACAAGTAAGAACAAGAGATGAAGAGGAGAGAAATGATCGCCAGGGATAATTAAAGCAAACCGAGCTCTGGAGGAGAGACCTGGACATGAGGAAGAGGCCGCCAGGGCCGCTGCACCTGCGTCACCACCACATGGCGGCTCTCCAGGTGACCAGCAGCGGGACATGACCAACCACACTGGAACACTAACTTGTCTTACACAAGAACTTTTGGAAAAGGATGAAAAGTGGTTATCTAGAATATAAACATTACAATCAACTCCTTTTTCCATTAGTAAGTCAAATTCTATTTCCCATTCTTAGGAAAAATAAAGCCCATGTTCACACACGTGACACAATTCATGGTGACATGTATTTCAGCCTTCCTGGACCCCTGAGGAAAAGCAGCAGTGCGTGGGGCTGTGCGTGGCCAGCGGGTGTCCGGGTGCTCGGGCTCCGGCTCCTACCCTGCTGATCCGATCCACTTCCTCGTCTCTCCTCAGCCCGCAGGCCCACGCCATCCAGCTCGGTCAGGAGGACAGCGAGCACCCGCTCCTGGACATCACACCCTGCTCTGCCGCCCAAGCGCGAGCCCACGATGGAGTCGATTTCGTCCAAAAACACGATTGCCGGCGTGCTCGCTCTCGCTTGTCGAAATACCTTTTGTTACAGAAAAATATCAGAAAGCTCATGCTCACTCAGCTTAGACGCATGGCGGCGAGTCCTCTACAGTGTGGTTTATGATTTTCAAACTAGAAAAAGGAAGATTCTGCGTGCTCGAAAACTGGGCAATGAAGAAATAAAAAGGAATAATTGAGTATTATGTAGTTCAATCACATTTTCCAGGGATATTTAAAATGAAATTTCAAAAGCAATAATGTTAAATTTAAAAAGCAGGGTAAAGCTGTAGATAGATAAAACTTGACCTCTATTTTGTTAAAAAAAAAAAAAAAGACAACAGAAATTCACCAAAATGTTAACAGGTAGAGATTATGAAAGGTCCCTTATTTACTTATTTATTCATGTGTGTGTGTGAGTGAGACAGGTTCTGGCTGTGTAGCCCAGACTGGCCTGGAACTTCCAGTGATCCTCCTGCCTCAGCCTCCTGGGTGCTGGGGTCACAGCCATGCACCACCACACCGGCTTTGTAAGGTCTCTTATTTAAACTTCCCCGTATTTTCTAAATAAACGTATGTAACTTTTCTCACAGAAAACATTAGTCTTCCTTTTCAAAAAAGGCTTATCTATGAGGCATGCAATGAAGAGTCCGGGGATTTAGCTCAGTGGTTCTGTTGCCTGCCTCGCAAGTGCAAGGACCCGAGTTCGATCCCCACTATGAAAGAAAGAAAAGAAAGAAAAAGAAAGAAAGAAAGAAAGTAAGTAAGTAAGTCCAAAGCAAGCATAAACACACAGGAGACCAACAAACCTGAGCCAAGACCTTTTCTGAATCACCAACGAAAGGCGAGAAGAGCTCCGCTCCGCTCAGCGAGATGAAGGCGCAGCAGCAGCTGGTGGCCAGGGCCCGCACCAGGGTGGTCTTGGCGCAGCCGGGCGGCCCGTGCAGCAAGAGGCCGTGGGGAGGCGTCAGGCCCATGCGGGCGAAGGCCTGTGGGAACCTGAGGGGCCACTCGATGCTCTGTGTGGAGACAGAAGGGTCCTGAGGACAGGAGCCCCAGTGGTGCAGCCAGGTCCTCCCTCACCTGGGGTCCAGGGCGGACCCCAAGTCCAGCGCCCTGCACCCCGCCCACTGTCAGAGCCCTCGCAGCGCCCTGCCCCAGCACCTGCTGTGTCCCCACAGGGGCCCTCCTGATCCTCTCTGCCCGGGAGTCCCAGGGTCTCCGTGGGGCTCCTCTGCACGCCACTCTCCGTTCTGCTGTCCTTCCCCGATCACTAGCCTCCTAGTGCCACTCTGCGCTACCACCCGTCTTCTACTTTTACTTTTCTTTTTGTCTTTTGAGACAGGGCCTCACTATGTAGCCCAGGCTGTCCTTGAACTCTGTATGTAGCCCAGTCTGGCTCAAACTTGCAGCAATCCTCCTGCCTCAGCCTCCAGGGTGCGAGGATCACAGGTGACTACCAGCACACCCGGCCCACCTTTTACCGTGAGAGCACTTACTCATTTTGCTCATTTTCCCATGTTGGGTTAGTTGTTCTGCTCTTGCTAAATGGAAACAAAGTTCCCCTCTACACCCTCAGCACCCAGGGTGACAGCTACCCTAAGCAGGTACCAGACAAACACTAAGTGAAGGTGAATGAGTCCTGACTGCCTGGCTTTCCCGTTGTCCTTTCACAGATGCAGGCCCTCGGGCATGGAGTTCACCTGCCCGCTTCTTTCTGTGCCAGCAGCATGGAGACCGGGCCCAGGCAGTTTGACCTCCTCGCACTTGCTCTTCACTACTGCTGTAACCTCTATGGAAAGAGGCCCAGCACAGGCTCCACACACCCGCGTTAGGGACTCAGGCTCACAGGCCAACAAGCGGCCAGAAAACAGCACCTCCGGGGGAAGGAGCCCTACACTCGGGGCCTCAAGATCTCGTCAGCATGGGGGAGGCAGGCAGTGGCCTGCAAGGATTCAGTCTGTAGGCACCCAAAGGCTGCTGTGTCCGAGGCAATGCAGGGGTGCACACCGGAAGCACAGGACCCATGTGTCAGCAGGACTGAGTTCTGGCTGCGATCGCCAGGGAGCCCAGGGTGGGCACAGGGTGACTGCTGGGCTCCCGACACACAGCTGGGAGCCAGGTCTCCAGCAGGCGGGCAGCTCAGGGTGCTGAGGACAGAAGTTTCAGGGGATAGTGGGGCCTCAGCCGTGGAGAAGATCACAACTCAGACCGCGAAGGACACGCAGGGGCCTCCTGGGCAGCACTGGACAGGAGGGAAGCCCAACCACAGCCCAGGAAAGGAAGGCTCCTGAGGAAGAGGAGGCCGATTTCCCTCACACAGCCCAGGAGCAGTGAGTGAGGCAATGTGGACGAGCACCGCATTATCATGGAGCTCTGATCACTGAGCTACATATCTGGCCCAAGATGTATTCTTATAGTTGGTAATCATGGACCCGCGCTCACAGGCGGAGCTGGGAACCCTGGCCCCTCAGAGCAGGGTAGGATACAGGAGAACAGGATGGGACTGCGTCGGGCGCCCCTCGTCCTCCGTGAGAGCAGGACCCCGGGCCAGGCCAACCGCTCCTCAAACCCTGCACCTCCCGAGTTTAGGTCAGAGCTCAGGGGAAACTGAGGCCCAGCACTCGTATACAGGCACCCTGTAGACTCAGAATGGTTTATGTATTTTTTAACACTTTGGAGGGAGGGAAAAAAATCAAAACAGTAATAACAATAATAACAATGGGTAAAATTTATGATTTCCATGTCCATAAACAAACGTGATGACAATGACAGACATCCTTATCCACAAAGGCCTGGATACGAAATCTGAGGATGCCCAAATGTCTCAGGGAACAGCACTGGCTGGATGTGGCTCAGCGCTGCCTTGCGTGGCTTGGGGTTCAAGCCTCAGCACAAGGAAAAGGAAGGCATAGCACTGCACGTGGCTTCCGCGTGGCCTCCAACAGGGCAGCCATCCCAAGTCACTTGTGAGACGCTGTGCACACAGCTAGCCCTCCACCCCACTCGGCAGGTGATGAGAACAGCCTGTGTGTCCGCCGGGACGCAACCTCCTGACCCAGCGCCCCCCAAAGGGTCGCCGAGCGTCCCCTCTCCCCTGTCCACAGCTGCTCCCGACCACGGTCACAACGCTGCTCACTGGCTCCCTGCAGAAAAATCGGCCGACCCCAGTCCTAGATCATCAGCTCTTCACAGCGATAACCACAAACAGGGTGGAGATGGCACTGCCTGCAAAGCCATCCGGGACACAGAGGTCAGGGCTGCATGGGCGAGCTCCACGGAACACCAGATGCATTCCTGTTCTCATCACGAATGCACGGAATATTCGGCCCCATCCCACTGGCTGGAGCCCATCCCAAGGCCAATTACTGTTACCTGTTTCAGCTTCAGTTTTACGTCTTCAAGGCCACCGATCTCTTCCCAGTCAACAGGCCTGAGGTCCAGTAGCCCGATGGCACTTCGAAACGATGAAGGCTGGATCTTCTTAAACGCGTCGTGGAAGTCCGTTTCGTCAATGGTAGGACTGTCGTGGCGCTGAGGAAACATACCGCAAAAAGCAAGAAGAGACTTAGGTGGGCCTTTCCGTGCTATGCAAGCACAGTTCTTCTCTTTTTCAAATACTCTTTTGTATTTGTAAATCTATTTTGTCATCATAAAATATATTTATATACATGGTACCAAAAAAAAGAACATCTCCAATTCCCACTAGTGTTTATCATCAGCTGATGCCAACAGTTTATGTATTCTTCTAGCATGTTTTATGTCAGTAACATATGCACCCCTTCAGCAAGCTGAACTATACTATATACGTATATAATCTACACTTTTTTCATTTACCTTAGAAATGCTTCTAACGAATAGGTCAGTGTCAGACTTGTTATTAAAGCTGCAACTGAAAAGTCTACCTGCTCAGGTTTAGTATTTTCTATAATGATTTTCTCAAAGTGGCACTGCAGGGTTTGCGTATGAACATTTACAACTTTGGCAGCTATTACTAAGGCATTTTCCAAAGAAGCTGCGTCTGGTTATTTTCCTACAGTAACGCGGACCTGCTGCTCCACCCACCTCTCCATCACTGGACGTTACAAGCTTTTAGGCTTCAGCTCATGGGACAAGCAGCAATGGTACTCGCTAAGGTGTCAATTAAATTTCCTCAGTTCAGAGGGGGTGGAGGGAACGAAGGAGTCACTTAGAAGTCACTACTTTTGCAGCATTCACAGTAAAGGCTGTTTGGCAAGAGCAGGACACCACATCTGGGGAAGCAAAGGTTCGGTGAAGAGAGCTATCTGCACATCTCAAGGTCTCCTCGCATACTTCTCAGGGGCAAGAAGGAAAACAATGACACAGGGCAGAAACTGGACACGACCTCGCCCAGTTGGTCACAGTCAGCATCACCAATGAGGAGTCCCTGTCACCTTGTGCCTCCGAACAAGGTACTCTTAAGGACCCAACATTGCTTGCACGGTGTTCCCCAAAGGGGCAAAGACCCCGAATCTGGCCATTCTACAAAATACCCAACCCGCATCACTTACATCAATGTCATATGTTTCAGATTTAAAAAAAAAATATTCAAGATTTTTGCTAGGTGTGGTGGTGCAGGCCTATAATCCCAGCACTCAGGATGCTGAGGCAGGAGGATTGCCACAAGTTAAAGGCCAGTGTTGGCTACACAGAGTTCAAGGCCAGCCTGAACTACCCAGTAAGACCCTGTGTCTCCAAAAAGACAAGTGCTCAAGATTAAAAAGACGAAAGAAGTACAATCTATTATGGTGAATTAGATCCTGTTCAAGAGAAAAAAACGCCAAAGACATGGACAATCACCAAATGAGAGTATGAGCTACACATTTTCACAACACTTTGTATGGATGTTAAATGACTAACTGTGGTCATCTATGCACATCCTTGTTTATAGGGAACAGTAATATGTTAAGGGACAAAGGGCCATGATTTGTGTGACCCATTCTCAAATGGCTCTCCCAAAGCATAAAACATGTAGGCCGCTCGAGTGCCACACACAGAGGGAGGGGGAGAGACTTTGAGCAAGAATGAATGAGAGCAAATTTGATAAAATGTTAAAGATCGGTGAATCTGGACAAGGGATTTATTTATCAGGTTTTCTCTATAATGATGTACCTTCCTTAAGTTTTAAAATAAAGTTACAAAAAACAAAACCGAAAAGGAATACTTTTAAAAGAGATTAAGAAGGAAGATTTTTCACGGCTATTGGTATTCTTTTTCTTATCAACTCCTTGTCTCTACCTTGCTGTCTTTGTTGGTCTTATCCTACTGATTTGTAAGAGTTCTTTCTGTATTAAGGAAATTGGGCCAAAAGTATTTTCATTCCCAAAGTTGAAATTAGCAAAGCCTACCCTTTCTGCTGTAAGATTTTATGTGCGCTTAGAAAGGCCGCCTCCATTTGGAGATTTTATTTTGTAAGGAGTCTTCCTTATCTCCTTGATCAGTCTAGTGAAGTAAAGTTTTGGTTAATTAAAAACTCCTTACGTCTGTTTTGTCTATATTATACTAAGGAATCTGCCCTCTTACATCAAATTCTGAACATTTAGTTGTCCACAGATCCCCATTTTCAACAACAATCCATGTTCTTATATATTATGTTAGGTGGATACATAGAGAGCTGTCCTGGAAAGTATTTTCCAAAAATGTAAACAACTGTAATCTCTGGTAGGTGAAGTTTCAGGCAAATTTTACTTTTTTTGTAACTTTCCCTATCTTGTTTAATTTCTCACAAAGAACACTAGTACATAATTTTAAAAATACAGCCACGTGGACCAAGGATTTAGCTCAGTGGTGCTGTGCCTGCCTCGAAAGCTCAAAGTCCTGAGTTCAATACTTGGTACCACAAAAAAAAAAAAAAAAATACAACCACGATTGTTGCTAACAACGGGGATGGCATGTGAGTGACACATGGTTAAGTGACTCTGTCTCTATGCATGTATCACATACAACAGGGGGTGAAGCCTACACAGCAAGCTGTATGCACACTCCCTGTGTATCTGGCCCATCACTGACCGAAGCACTTCTTACTGGCCGGCAGTATTCCATGCTGGGCACCTGCACTCATCTTTAGGTGTAGCCAGCTCTCGTTTGAGAATCCCACTCCCAGCTCAGGATCCCTTAGTGTTCATCAGCTCACTGATTCTCACAGCTCTTTCAGGCGGGAGTGCATCCTTTCCCCTCCATGGTCTTAGGCTACATCTGTAACCCTTGAACAGGAATACTTCATGAAACGGTCAGCAACTCTCGCAGAGCCTTGTCTGGCTACCCCTCAGCTGCCCCATGGGGAACGAAGAAAAAGACAAGCCAGTACCTTCCCGGATGCCTCTGTCCCTTCTTCCTGTGTCTTTCTTCCTCGCACTTCCTGCACTCAGCCGTTGCCCTCGGGAACTACACTTAGGGCCCTCCAGAAGCAGCAGCAGCTGACTAGTCCACCTAAGCCAGAGGCGCGAGGTCAAATTCAGATCTTTCAAGGCACAGGGGACCCTAAACCCACACCTCAGCCTTTCCTTCAAAGGCCGCGTAGGCTCACACTTTTACCCGTGGACTTTATGAAAATGTCAAGCAGTTTGGGTTCTAAACCCACAAGACGACCTAGAATTTCACATAACTTCTCCCCATCTTTAGTGTAGGAGTAAAAATAAAGGAAGAGGAAGATATTTCAAGAAAATACCAAGCGTCAATCTTCTCCTGGTCCGCTAAGTTTACTTTCCCACAAGGTTCTTATTAACAATAAAGGGGAAGGGCCAGGGATTTAGCTCAGTGGTTTCGCCACCTGCTGCGCAAGCGCAAGGACCCGAGTTCAATCCCCGGCACCAAAAAAAATAAATAAATAAAATAAAGGGAAAAACAGTATCTTGGCAATGGAGAAATCTCAGATATACCATCGTATCCAAGAAAACAAAGTTAACTTTGGTAGAGCTGAGAGATACCACATGCTGCACAGTAGACAATGAGAAAACCCCAGGACCGTCTCCCTGCTATTCCTGCCCAAATGCACCCCCTGAATTGCATGAGGAAACATCAGTCAGACCCGACCGGAGGAACAGTCTACAGAATAACTGACTCAAGCTGTTACAAAGTTAAGCTCATGAAAGACTGAGGGACGGTCCCAGACTAAGGTCTACTTGGAGGAGGAAAAGCACAGTGTCAGTGTCAATTTCCTCAGCCTGATTATCATACTGTGGTTAAAGTTCTTGCATTTAGCAAATAAACACCTGAAGTTTTCAAGGTGAAGGGGCATCACGGCTGCAGTATATTCTTAAATTTCAGAAAAAAACATACACTCAAACACGTGATGAAAGGATGATAAACATAGTAAAATGTTGTATTTGGAGAACCTGGGTGAAAGACATAGAAATTCTTCATACCATTTTTGCAATTTTTGTCTAAGTCTGACGTTGCTTCAAAGTCTGAAATTTCTTCACAATAATAGAAAAACAAATAAACTGGTTCTTCTGAGGCCACACTGCCTTTGGTGGCTGCTCTGGGCTTCAGCACTAGGGGGCTGCTATGAGAGCATAGGCTGTCTAGACCTGAAAGGTTACCTTCTGCCGTAGTATTCTATTCATACAGAGTTGAGACATAAAAATACAGACAAGAAACAGCCGTGGAAGCTGCCACAGATTCCAAGAGCATGTGCTTACCACCTTTCTTGGAGCCCCGTACTAACGGCTACATGAACAGAAAGGTGAATTTGCAGTGGTCAGACAGCAGCCCTCCTACCTTCTCGTCTCGGAGGAGGGCGAGCACGGCAGCCTCCCTGCACAGCGCCGCCAGGTCGGCGCCCACGTAGCCCACAGTCATCTCCGCGAGCTCGTCCAGATCCACGCCCCTGGACACAGGCATCTTTGAGGTGATCACCTGCAGAATCGCCCTCCTTTGTCTCAGCGTGGGAGTCCCGATGATAACCTGTAAGAGAGCAAAGAGAGAAAAAGAAAAATTCAGGTTTACAGCTTCAAATATCTCTTTATCCTTACAGTCAGACTGGAATTTAGTGAACCTTTCTGGATCTAGTGCCTTGTATACCTCTACACATACCTTACATTTGGAATGTATGAAAACCCCAATTTTTCAGGGGCATGATAAGTGGCTGCAAAATCACATACATATATCATTTAACAAGTTTCTGATATTTTAGGGAACCTACCAGGTCCTAGGAGCCAGGAACAGAACAGTAAGACACACGGTTCAGGTCCCCACCCAGGTAGAGCACACGCAGGAGACAATTACTGGATGGTACAAGAAATTCACCCAAGCCCTGAACAGATTAAAATGTACAATTACCCTCTCTCTGTAGAATCTTACCACAAAATTCAAACATCACTTACTAAATTTCTTCCAAAACCAAAAATCAAATTAGGAAAATTATAAAACAGGACAGCTTTGAACACGCCATCTTCCACCAACCGAAGGAGCAATTGTGGGTACTTTCTCAGTGTAACCAATTAAACACTCTAAGGCAGAAGTCACAGCGAGAATGGCTACTATTATTTCGGCTCAAACTACAGCCAGCACCCACAGTTTTCTGTGCAGAGGAAGCATTACTGAACCACAGCTTGGTGGCCTGTTAACGCTGCAAACTGAGTCCTGGTTTAGCCACCGAGTGCTGAGATCCGGAGGGTTTTGGTGCCGCTGAAGAACCACCAATCCATCAACCACCGACTGGTTATTTGGAAGTCGCTGGTGACCGTTCTGCCCACACTTGGCTGCCTATGTTGCAATGCGCGGTTCAGTACGGCTCTACCGTTCACTGCAGCTCCTGGCTCAGTCTGATCCACCGACTGCCTGTAACACTCTGCCTCCTTTGAATTCCAACCAATTCAGTTTAGGCATAAAGATCCCAAATTCCGTTTCAGGTTGCCTCTTGGTGTACATACCCCCCAAAACATGAGGAAAATGCACTGTCATGTCGTTGAGCTCATATCTGGCCGAATTTATGTGGCACATTTGGAAATAATGCTTTAAATTCCCTCTTACTGCATATTGTTAAGAACAATTTCCTGTTAGCTAATGTGAAGCTATGACTTTTGGTTTTAGGACAAATTCTTCAATTAGATACATTCGAGAGACAAGTGTACAACTGATTTGTGGGACAGTACGCTGGTGTCCTGATAAGAGGTGAGAAGATTAACACTTGCTTTGGCTTCGTTCTTCCTTTTAATTTCAACACTTCTTGAAGCTACTTCTACTTTAAATTCTCATTCATATCGAATAGGCTAGTAAAAGATCAGGGTCCCTCAAGGATTCACCCTACTGATAGTAGTTTATCTTCAGGACCTGCACAATAACCCTAGTTTCTAGACGCCACTCCACCTCTAGGGACAAACTTACTCTTGGAAAACAGAGGCCCGGTTGCCAGATCGTACGTGGGCACTGCGGTACAGAGCCCTGGCCCGGCCTCCTCGGTTCCCAAAGGGAAGATGCCCAGGGACATGGCCACCAGCTGGGCCCACTCACCTCGCGGTCGAACCTCCCGGGTCTGCGCAGCGCCGGGTCCAGTGCGTCGGGCCGGTTGGTGGTCGCCACCACCACCACGTCTTGGTGCCCGTCGAAGCCGTCCAGCAGCGTCAGCACCTGGGCCACGGCGCGGCTCTCGGAGAGGCGGTGCGGGCCGCCCCGCCGGGGACACAGCGAGTCCAGCTCGTCCAGGAGCAGCAGGCCGGGGCCGCGCGCAGCCAGCTCCCGCGCGCGCTCGAACACGCGCCGCACGCGCGCCTCTGTCTCCCCGGGCCGCGCGCCCTGCAGCGCCGCGCCGCCCACCGCCAGTAGCCGCGCGCCCACCTCCCGCGCCACGGCGCGCACCAGCCGTGTCTTCCCCACGCCAGGCGGCCCGGCCAGCAGCACCCCACGGGGCATGGCCAGACCCAGCGCCGCCAGGGCGCGCGGATAGCAAAGCGGCAGGCGCAGGAGCTCGCGCAGCGCGGCCGCCGCCTCCGCCAGGCCCCCCAGCGTCTCCTCGGCCGGCGGCTGCGCCTCCTCGGCCGGCGGCTCGGCGCCCAGGCCCACGCAGGTGCGCGCCGTGACCAGCCCGGCCGGCTCGGGGACCCCGCCCACGATGTGCACGGCGGCCAGCGGGCCCGGGGCGCCGGGCGGCGCGGCCAGCAGCAGGCCCTCGGACACCGGCCGGTTCCTCAGCAGCTCGCGCGCGGCCTCCAGCACCGCCGCGTCCCCCGGCGCGTCCGCGCGCTCCCGCAGCACCGGCCACACGGTCACGCGCCGCAGCGGCGGGCAGGGCACGGCGCGCAGGCAGCCCAGGCGCAGGCCGCCCCCGCCGGGCCCCGCCGCCAGCGCCAGCGCCGCCGCCGACCCGGGGCTCGCGCACTGTGCGTCCAGCTGCACGAAGCCGTCCGCCCCGTCCCGCCGCGGCCACGCGGTGCACAGGCAGGCGCCGCCGCCGCCGGGCAGCGACACCCGCACCGCCGAGCCCAAGTGCACGCCCAGGGTGCGGAAGGCGGCCGGGCCCAGGCGGCAGCGCTGCGTGCCCTGGTCCCTGTCATCGACGGGCAGCAGCTTTAAGAGCGGGCCCTCGGGGCAGGGGCCCGAGTCCGGGGTCATGGCGCGACGCCGGGAGGACGCCTGGGAAACCCGCAGGAATACCAGCGCGGGGAAGGCTGGAACTCCACACTACGGCCGGAAGCAGGCGCCGCGCACGCGCCCGGGGGTGGGACACGGGGTTGCTAGGAGCTGATTGAAGGTTGAAAGGGCCAATTGGGAAGCGAAACGACGGGGGCTCTCAGGTGGAGCTTCGCAGGCGTAGGGCGGTGGTGTGGACAGGTGTAGCGCAGCGTTAAACTACATTTACTAGGTTATTAAACGTGTGCTTGAAAACTAGGCCATCTCATAAGTTTGAGGCACACTAGTGTATTTGCTCTGATTCCTGATGGACTCCTATGGTCCTTCGGCAACAGCTTCGTCAGGACCTCTGCTTTCCCTGTGCCGGGTGTCACTGCTGGCGACGCAGCAGTGCTAGGTCCTGTCCTGTATTAGAGGTGACGCCTGGCTGCATTATTAACGCAACGGCCTGCTGGTCTTTTTCCACCCTGCTTTCTGCCTTTTCTTAAGAATTCTTCCCAATCAGGAAATTTATTTCCAGTCTTTTAATTCTCATCAAAAAGAACTACCGATATTCAAAGGCAAGAAAGGGAGCCTTGTTTTTTATAGCACTCACAGCTTCCCGCCTTCACTACAGCCCAAATTGTGAGGTAACAAAGTTGATATTGCCGGGCTTGGTGGCTCACACAAGGCTGGGCATGTAGCTCAGTGTGCAAACCTGGGTTCAGTCTCCACTACTGGGAAAAACAAATTGTGGATGGAATGCTAAATTGTGGTTGGGGGGGTTTCTTTCATGCAATGGAAAGTTCTCTCTTGGGCCAGGGATTTAGCTCAGTGGCACCGCGCCTGCCTCATAAGTGCAAGGTCCTGAGTTTGATCCCTGGTACCACACACACGGGAAAAAAAAAAAAAAGTGGCCTTCAATGGATCAATGGAAAGTACTCTCGATCTGGGACCTTAAGACCCCTGCCACTGTCTCGCCATTGTTCGAGGCAGTCCGGCAGTTTCTTCCCCAATAAAGCCTTGCCCGGCTGCTTCTGTTTCGGCTCGTTTTCTTTCATTTTGGCGCCAAAACTCGAAAGTCGGGAAGGCAATGGTCGGGATTTCATGACGATCCCCCTCTGGTCGGAGTTGATTTGCCTCCCGCCCGGCTTTCCAGGACCCTGCCAGACGGGCACCCGGCCAGGGGCCTTCACCTTTGCCATGCTGACACATCCACACTGCATCCGCACCGGTCCCCAATCTCTGGTTGCTTCTGAAAAGAAATTGGGAAATACTGCATACGAATGCTGATCTTAAAGATGAACATGCTCATTAGCAGATGAAAGGCTCTGAGAAGCTCTGCAGGGGATACAAACACCTATAGAGGTTAGCAACATGATACCATTTTGGGATGGGGCAGCAGCAGCAAGCCACAGCTCCCAGTTAGCCACACTATCGGGAGGATAACAGAACGTGTATGGAGCTGACTCTGACAAGCTGTAGTGGTCCTGGATTCCCTGGAGACACAATCCTTTTCCATGCTGGGGTCCTTTGCAGCCAGGTGACAACAGTGGATACAAGTTGGTCTGCAGCCATGGATGTAGATGTCATGCCTCTTACCAAGGAGTTTCAAGGTACCGAACCAAAAATTATCCTGCTATTTTCCCTAGCTAAATAACCATAATACATGAAATACATTTGTCTTTATTGTATACAAAGCATTATTCTAAAATATATCTGCATTGATTATTGACTTATTCCAATTAATAGATAATTATAAATGTTTTAAAAAGACCTATGCCAATTCCTGGTCTTAGCCTATCTAAACTTACTGCAGACCGTATGAAGAACTTCTAGATGCTGCAGTGATTTATCTAATCTCTGCTGTACTTCCCCAGCTCTAGTACTGGAAAAAGTTAAAAAGTATTTAAAAAATAGCATACATAGCAGGAAGAGGTCCCCAAATGGGTAAGTCACACATTCCTATTTTCTTCTTTCTCTTATGAGTAAGTTTGCATTTTCTGAAATAAATCTCTTTTAAAAAAAACTGACTCCTGAAGATGTGAATAAAGTGCCAGTCAGGTGCCTGTACCTCAAGAAGTTTCTTTTGTCCCAGTTCTAAAAAGTTCTAAAGATTTAGGAAAGGAAAAGAAGGCTTAACAAGGACATGATAAGTATCTTAAATATGTAAAGGGCATCTATCTGTCTATCTATCTGTCTATCTCCAGGAAATGAAAGTTTAATGGGTGACCTAAGATCCTTTCTCATATTTTGAGCATGATTGTGGGGAAGGCAATAGCCATATGGCATCACCAAAACCAACACAGGGGAGTAAATACAAGGAGGAAAATAAAGTCAAATCAATCTTAGACTTTTCTGCATTGGTTTCAAACAGAGGTAGAGGCTGTGACATTAGGAATATGTTGTGCAGGAAGCTGCAGGTTGTTTTGGGTTGACCGGAAAGGTTGATTTTATAGGGTTCAGCTCGAGTCCTCTGACTTTGGCAGGAACGTCATCCCACGCTCTCACTAAACGATCCAGTCCTCACATTGGTTGCAAACAAAATCAACAAGGCCTTCAACTCTTACCCACTCATTTTCAGGGGAGCTATGTTTGTCTTTCCCAGTCAGCCAGTAAAATCCATTCTCTTCCTTTGGGTTAAATCATTTCCTCCACCACCACCACCACCACCACCACCACCATCACCATCACCATCACCATCACCATCATCATCATCATCATCACCATCATCATCATCATCATCATTTTGGTGGTGCTGGAAGCGAACCCAGGGCCTCACGTGTGCCAGCCGAGCACTCAATCCGCGAGCTACCTCTGCAGCCCTGCGCCTATCATTTATTTCACCATCTGCACATCCACATCCATCATACAGTTCACTGACACAGTCTTCTCGTGGAAGCCATTCTAACAGAAGTTGGTTATTTGCTTATTATATGACCCCACATTTGGTAATTCTTTTTCTCCTCTAACTTTGGTAAATTCTGTGACTTCAGTGCCAGTTAAAAGCACCCAGGTTGAGCCACCAGAGGGAGCCCAAAACCTATGGAGCATGAAGGTTGCACAGTTGTTAGCCCTGAAGTGTGGCTTCCACTAGATTTTCCCAGGATTCCCACCTATGTTTAGGAAACCATCTGTTGTCTCTATATAGTGTCTAAGTGTGTTCCAGTTGCTATAACAAAATAACCTAAGCGAGGTAGGCTATAAACAACAGAAATGTATTCCTTATACTTCTGAAGGCTGGAAAGTGAAGGTCAAGGTGCTGGCAGATCCAGGGTCTGGGGAGGGCTTTCTGGTTTGCAGACAGTGCCTCCTTGCTCTGTCCTTGCAGTGGAAGGGGGTTGCTAGCTCTCTTAGGCCTCTTTTGTAGGGCATTAATCTCAGTCATGTAGGCACCATCCTCATAGCTTAATTAGCTCATAGCTTAATTAGCTTAATTAGATTAATCCTCCTAATACCATCATTTTGAGGGGAGGATTTCAATGTAAGAACTTTGTTGTTGACACGAACATTCAGATTATTATAGATAGCTAAATTAGGTAAAAAATATTATAGGCAGTAGGACAGGGCTGGGCCCTTGAGGGAGTCAGTGCAGAAGATGAGAACACATCACACCTGTGGCTGCAGGCATGTCTGTCATAGGCTAGGCCCAAGATAAAGACAGACTGACCAGGCCTGTGTGCCTCCCCAAGGGATAAACAATAACTTGAGATTATACTATAATTGGTATCACCTGGTCCAATAAAGTCCAGATAGATATCAGTCACCCAGGTGGGTGACCAGGACATCCGGACCCATCCCTTCCCAAAATGCCTTTGTTCTTTCCAGGTACCCTTGCTATGTGACTCGCTTCCCCATTGGCTCAATATTAACGAAGTGGCTGTACCAGTACCCTTTTTTTTTTTTTTGGTACCGGGGATTGAACTCGGGTCCTTGCAATTGCACAACAGGTGGCGAAACCACTGAGCTACATCCCCGGCCCTGTACCTGTACTCTTATTGGTTGAATATAGCCTGACCCACATTGTACTCACGTCGTGATTTTGCTCTATAAAACATTTTTAGAGAAGGGGCCTCAGTGGCTCCCACTTTCAGGTCCCCTCCTTTCTCTCAGGAGCTATCTCAATAAATCTTTCCCACTCTTACCTCCATTGTTCCTTAGAACATTCTTCAATTTCGGGGGACAGAAACTCGGCTTATCTGACATCTAACAGGTTGAGAGTTACATTTTCCCCTGCATCAAGATCACAACAGTAACTTATTCTCACACGATTTCTGCATGCTTCAGCCCATGTAGAACTCAATTTCCAACTGAAAATTTAATTTCAGTATTAAATACAAAAATTAGACTCACTTCAAATCTCAAATTTAGTGGTGAATCAAAATCCAAGCAAATGGAATTCATTTTGCTATGGCCTAGACATCTCTAGCTTTGAAATTTTTCAAGTAGCTTTTGCTAAATAAAGTCTTCTGTGAGTTTTCCTAAAGAGATACAGGCCACAAAGTTTCTTTTGCTTTGCACTGCAACATTCAAAGTTACAATTCATCTAATATTAAATTAGCTATAAAATTCTTTTCTTTTTTTCTTTTGGGGACAAGCTCTGTCTATGTAGTGTGGGCTGACCTTGAACTCACTGTGTAGCTTAGGCTGGCCTTGAGCTCACAGCAATCCTGCCTCAGCCTCTCAAGTGCTGGGACTACAGGCATGGGCCACCACCCCCAGCAAAAAATTCTCCATTAGTAATATATCTAGAATTCAAAGGAAATAATTGATACCTGTTTCTTTTGTGCCTTCAGCATCAATAATAATAATAGCACACATATATTCAGTATATCACTACATGGAACATCCATGATTATAAAAAAGCTACAGAAAATAGTTCAGCTGATAGCATGAGTCATATGTAACAATGACTCTCATCTTTTCTATTTCTCTTCTCATGTTATGTTCAACACTAATATACTTGCACATTCGCAATGAGTATAAGTCGGAATAGTTAAATATAGAAATGCATTTAACCATACTAGAACGAGCGTGATTGCAAATGCTTTCCTCTCAGAATATTTATGCAAATGTATCAAGTAACTTATTTCCATTACCTAATATTCCAATACCTAATATGCCAAA